CAAGTATCTCCACCAGCCCATCCAGAAGCGATGCCCATGAGAGCTGTGTGGCGGAGGGGCGTAGGTAAGCGTACAGCGAAGGAGGGATGCCAACGATGGTGAAGATTCAGACTTCGGGGAGCCTCTTGGAGCGATCTTGGGACCACTCAAGATGCCTTCTGGGCTCTTGTGGCTCTCTTGGGGCCCTCTTGGGGGCCCCAGGGGGCCTCCTGGGGCCAGCCCGAAAGCCCTCGATCAAAAGGAAGGTCTTCAATTCGCCCCCCCCCTTCCCCCCCTCTTGTCGGGAGGCCGAACAATTTGCTCTTGGGGCGCTCTTGAGGGTCCTGTTGGGGCCGTCTCAGGGCCCTCTTGGGGATACCTGGGCCTTAGAGGCCAATCGAATGCGAAACTGCGAGAGGGCGCAACTGACGGATTTTGATTTGGTTTTGGTGCGATTTTGGCCTCTTGGATGGCTCCCTGGAGGCGTCGCGGCCACTTCTCTTGGACCTCTCGCAGGAATGTCGGAAGGTATCGTGAGTCATCGTGGGCTATGCTGCGCCATTTGAAAGGCTGCCTTGGCGCATCGGGAGTCACCTGCCATCCTGAACCCCAAAAACGGCCGTTTGCCACCTCGGGACCCCGCCATCCAGACCCATGGGAGGAGGCAGGGAGGGGTCAAGATACCCCAGTCAGCAAGCCGCGTCGGTCACTCCAACCGCCCTCCCAGCACATAGGCAGCATCCCAGCCAGGGGCCCACATCCCACTGCGTTGATGAGTCCCGTCGGGAGCACAGAGCAGGCAATATGACGTCTTCTTCTGATGATGGTGACGACGACGACGACGCCGACGACGACGACGCCGCCAACGACGACGACGACGACGAGTACGAGTACGACGACGACGACGACGACGACGACGACGACGACGACGACGACGACGACGACGGACGACGGACGACGGACGACGACCGACGACGACGACGACGACGGCGATGACGGCGCCGACGACTGAAGACCGACGACGACGATCACGAATCCAGCGGGCAGCTCCGAGTGAACTGCGCCCGTGGCTGCTCGGTAGCCCTTGGGGCGAGAGTGTGGAAAATAACAGATGCGGCCATTCGGTCCTGTAGACTAGACATGGTTACTTGGAGGCTCCGTAATCTCGCCTGCAGGCTTTGTGGACCCACGGCGGCGCGGAAGTCCGTGATAATATCATTGGTGTTCGCCGAGAGGGAGTTGACCTCGTTGCGGGTCGCCTCCCATTATTTCTCCACCGTCCTCCCAATGCGAGTGCGGACATCATCATTTCTGGTAGCCACACGCGCTGTCACGTCGGTCATCAGCGACGAGAGAAGCTTCTCTCCCAAAACATCCTGACCGCGAATCAGCTTATCTCCGAGGGCACGACGACGATGACGACGACGACCGACGACGACGACGCCGACGCCGACGCCGACGCCGACGCCGAAGCCGAAGCCGACGCCGCCGCGGACGATGACGACGGACGACGACGACAACGACGACGACGACGCCGCCGACGCCGACGCCGACGCCGACGCCGACGACGACGTCGACGCCGACGCCGCCGCCGACGCCGCCGTCGCAGACGACGACGACGACGACGGCGCCGCCGCCGCCGCCGCAGACGACGATGGCGACGACGACGCCGACGCCGACGACGACGGCGATGTCGACGACGCCAACGACGCCGAGTCCGACGACGCCGACGCCGCCGACGCCACCGCTGCCGCCGCCGACGACAGACGGCGACGACAACGACGCCGCCGCCGCCGACGCCGACTCCGACGACGACGACGACCACGGCGCCGCTTCCGCCGCCGCCGAAGACGACGCCGACGCCGACGCCGTCGACGGACGACGACGCCCACGTCGCCGACGACGATGACGACGCCGCCGTCAACGACGCCGACTCCCACGACGAAGACGACCGCGGCGCCGCTTCCGCCGCTGCCGACAACGAGGACGACGACGATGCCGACGCCGACGCCGACGTCGACGCCGACGCCGACGTCGACGACGCTGACGACGTCGAGTCCCACGACGCCACGCCGACGCCGCCGCCGCCGCCACCGCTGCCGCCGTCGATAGACGTCGACGACGACGACAACGACGACGACGACGACGACGACGACGGACGACAACGACGACGAACGACGACGACGATGCCCACGCCATCGACGACGACCACGACGACGGCGCTGCCGCCGACGACGACGACGACACGCCGATGACGACGACGGTCGACGACGACCACGACGACCACGACGCCCACGCCGCTGACAACGACGACGCCGCCGACGACGGACGACGACGACGACGATGCCGACGCCAACGCCGACGCCGAAGCCCACGATGACGCCGACGCCGACGCCGACGCCGACGACGCCGACGCCGACGACGACGACGACGCCGACGACGACGACGCCGACGCCGCCGCTGCCGCCGACGCCGCCGGAGCCGCCGCCGACGACGACGACGCCCTCGCCGCCGCCGACGACGACGGCGCCGACGACGACGACGACGGACGACGACGACGACAATCACGACGCCGACGACGACGACACGATGCCCACGCCGCCGATGACGACGACGGCGCCGCAGACGACGACGGCGTCGGCGAAGACGACGGCGTTGACGTCGCTGCCGACGACGACGACGACGTCGGCGCTGCCGACGACGGACGACGTCGGCGCCGGCGCCGACGCCGACGCCGACGACGACGCCGACGCCGACGCCGACGCAGACGACGACGCCGACGACGGCGACGGCGAAGGCGACGCCGAGGACGACGACGACGACGATGGACGACGACAATGATGCCGAGGACGCCGACGACGACGACGCCGCTGCTGCCGCCGCCGCCGACAACGCCGACTCCGACGACGACGACGACGACCACGGCGCTGCCTCCGCCTCCGCCGCCGACGACGACGATGCTGACGCTGACACCAACGCCGACGCCGACGCCGAGGCCGTCTCCGACGCCGACGCCGACGACAGCGGCGCCGACGACGCCGACGTCGACGACGCCGACGCCGCCGCCACCGACGACGACGACGAGTTCGCCGCCGCCGCCGCCGACGACGACGCCGACGCCGCCGCCGACGACGACGACGCCGACGACGCCGACGACGATGACGACGACGGACGTCGACGACAATCACGACGCCGCCACCGTCGCCGCCGACGCCGACGCCGCAGCCGCCGCCGCCGCCGACGACGACGACCGATGATGTCGACGACGACGACGACAGACGACGCCGACGACGACGCCGACGCCCACGCCCACGCCGTCGCCGAGGCCGTCGCCGCCGACGACGCCCACGCCATCGCCGCCGCCGGCGACGATGACGACGACGCCCACGCTGCCGACGACGCCGGCGCAGACGACGCCGACGCCGCCGCCGACGACCACGACGCCGACGACGCCGACGACGATGACGACGACGGACGTCGACGACGACGCCGCCACCGTCGCCGCCGACGCCGACGCCGCCGCCGCCGCCGACGACGACGACGACGACCGATGATGTCGACGACGACGACGACGACAGACGACGCCGACGCCCACGCCCACGCCGTCGCCGAGGCCGTCGCCGCCGACGACGCCCACGCCATCGCCGCCGCCAGCGACGATGCGACGACGCCCACGCTGCCGACGACGCCGGCGACGACGCCGACGACGGCGACGACGATGACGACGACGGACCACGACGACGACGACGCACGCCCACGCCGCCGACGACAACGCCGCCGACGACGACGCCGCCGCAGCCGCCCACGCCGAGGAGGACGACGACGCCGCCGCCACCGCCTCCGACGAAGAAGGTGACGACGATGACGACGATGACGCCGCCGCCGACGACGACGACGGACGACGACGACGACGACAACACCCAAACCGCCGACGACGCCGACGACGACGGCGATGCCGCTGCCGCCACCGCCGACGACGACGAATACGACGACGACGACGGACCACGACGACGACGCCGTCGGCGACGACGACGCTCGCCCACGCCGCCGACTACGCCGCCGTCGCCGCCGCCGTCGACCGACGACGGACGACGACGACGGTGCCGCCGACGCCGACGACGCCGTCGACGTCGGCTACGACGACGACGCCCGCGCCACCGCCGCCGACGACGACGCCGACGCCGCCGCCGACGACGACGACGGCGGCCGACGACGATGACGATAATGACGACGACGACCGACGACGCTGACGCCGACGCCGACGCCGACGCTGCCGCCGACGACGACGACGCCGACGCCGCCGCCGCCGACGACGACGACGACGGCGAACCACGACGACGACGACGACGACGCGACGACGACGACGACGCACGGCCACGCCGCCGACTACGACGCCGCCGCCGTCGACCGACGACGACGACGACGACGACGACGACGACGACGACGACGACGACGACGACGACGACGACGGCGCCGGCGAGGACGACGTCGCCGCCGCCGCCGACGCCGACGACGCTAGCGACGACGACGACGGCCACGCCACCGCCGCCGAAGACGACGACGCCGCCAACGACGACGACGCCGACGACGCCGACGACGACGTCGTCAACGACGATGGCCGACGATGCCGACGACGCCGACGCCTCCGCCGCCGTCGCCGCCGACGCCGACGACGAAGACCGACGATGACGACGATGACTACAGACGACGCCGACGCCCACGCCGAACCTGACGCCGACGCCGACGCCGACGCCGACGCCGCTGCCGCTGACGACGACGATGCTGCTTCCGACGACGACGACGACGGCGACTGATTACGACGACGACGAAGACGACGACGACGTTGACAATGCCCACGCCTCCGACGAAGACCGCACCGCCGCCACCGCCGACGACGACGCCGCTGCCACCGCCGCCGCCGCAGCCGCCGCCGACGGCGTCTCCGAGGATTGCGACGGCGCCGACGACGACGACGACATCGTCTTCGTCATCGTCATCGTCATCCCTTCTCCCACTCGCAGATGGTGGACCTCCTGCTGCGGCACGGGGCGTCCCCCCTCGCCGCCGACGCCCTCGGCGGCAACACCCCGCGGACTTACGCGCAGGAGGAGGGCCTGCGCCAGAAGCTGGCCAGGGCGGAGGCGTGGTGGACCAGGCCGGTGGGCTCGGTAGCAAATCATGGGAGTCTCGCGTGCCCCGTAAATTTTGTTTCTTTTCTCGTCTCTTGCTCTTTCGCTTCGTGCCTGCAGTAATTTCGGGTGCAGCCCACCGCTTGCTTTGACCGGCACCTGACCGTCTCGCACAACCTCTCGCCCGCGGAGTTTCAACGTGTACCTCGTAGTGCCGTCTTGACAGTGCAATGGCTTCGGCTACCGTTTCGTAATCGATGAGATGGCACAGATTTAGCATCGAGCAGCGCCGATTACCGTCGAGCAGCGTTAATGAGCGTCGGTGTAGTGTCGATCAGCGTGGACGTAGTACCGATGTGGCGTGGCGTTGGTTAGCGTCGACGTAGCGTCGACGTGGCGTCGACGTAGCATCGACGTACCGTCGGCGTGACGTCCTTGCAGCGTCGCACGCCGAGACAAGAGCGGGCGCCAGGACCCCAGGACCTCCGACGTGTCGGCCCTCGCAGTTCGAGTGCAGACCCATGCCAAGAAACATTTTGCTTGCCTCCAGGGTGCCTTAGGTTAGGTTTCGATGGTTTTTGCGATGGAGAGCGCGACGTTCCCACACCAGAAATCAATGGACGTCCTGGGGTCTCAGGGTTGGGTTTCTTGTGGGAGGTTTCTTGTGGACTAGCCTCTAGTGTAAATGCTGAATCCATGGGCCGACCACAACGCTATTTAGCTTGGTTTGGGCCTGTGCGTTATTTCGTTTGCTAGTTTTAGTTTCGTTTCGTTTTGTGTTGTTTCGGACGCCCCGTTTCGTTGTTCGTCTCGTTTGGTGCCGCTTTCGTTTGAAACGATCGTTTCAAGCGTTTGGCTTTGCTTCTTCTTTCGTTTTGAACGTTATTTCGTTTGAAGCATCGTTGTGGTTGGTCTCTGAGAAAATCATGGAAGCTTCTATCCGTCTATGATGTGTCCTTTGGACATTGCCGTTCCTAAGTTGGTCTCAGGGGGCTCGTAGGCTACGGGGCGCGACGGCGAGCTTACGAAAAGGCCGATGAGGAGGCAGATGAGGATCGGAAGGAGGAAAGTTCGCCCTGGGTTGGGTGTTCATCGGCGAATAGCGCCCAACAGCGCCAAACAGCGTTAGCTTGCGCTCGGTAGCGGCGAATGGCGCCCAAATAGCGCCCAACAGCGACCAGTAGCGCCCAACAGAGCAACGCGAGGGAGATACATCGCGTTCGCTGTGCGCGCGATTGGGCGCGCTACTGGACGCCATGGGGGCGACCAAGAGCTTCCGTGAGTTGCTCACTGATCTCAATGTCGGCGTCAGTCCTCGGCCTCGGCCTCGGGGGATCCGTCTTGGGATGCAGGATCAGTTTTCTGAAATGGGTCCGTCGAGAAGCCCAGGAACCGCGCGTCGCAGAGGGCAGTCGTTGAAGACGTCGGCACATATCCGTGCCCATCAGCTTGTAACTCGGGGGCATCTTCGGAATATCCGCGTTTGGACGTTTGTTTTGCTTGCGCATCCATGTCGTCCCAGAAGCAGTGCGCTGATCTATCGTCGGGCTCGGTGTTGAGGCTTTCAACGATTGGCTTTTGCCAGAGGCGGGACCTGGCGTGGAGGTCCTGGGAGGTGGCCAGAGCGACACCCCAGGACCCAAGCAGCCCGAACCGGCGAATCCTTTTGCCACCCCTCCTTGTCGTCTCTCTGGGTTCAGGGGCGGCTTGTGCCTGGACGCCTGCACACCCCGCGCCCGCTCTCTTCCCGCTCCTCCTGTGCCCAGTTAAGCCCCGCAGTGTCCTTTGACCGCCTTCGACCGTGGCGTGGATCCGCGACGCTGCGACCAAAAGTGCCCAGACGCCAGTCGCTGCGATCTTTTCGATGCGTGGGCCGCTGGACCCCTCGACCCCGACGGACCAGTTTTTTCATCCCTTGGCGATAACGGGCGTAACTGGGGGGGGGTGAGGCGGGGAGGGGGCCAATCACATCACGATTCGCACTGGCGCCGTGTGGAAGTGCTCGAGAATGACTCATTTCCACACGGCGCTGGCGCGAATCGTGACGGGACCAGATGGGGGGGCGGCGGGGCATCGTCGCGAATAAATCGAATAGTTTGTCCTAGGGCCAGCTTTTCGTTCGGAGTTCTTGTCTGGCGGCCTGTGGACGTCTCGAGCCCAACCCCAGAGCCAGGTTGCGGCGGCGAAGTCCGAACCCTACCTTCGCCGATCAACGATTCAGGCAGCTCGATGGGCGGCGGGGGTAGGGTTCGGAGTCCGTCAAACACGTGGCGACTTGCATGCCCTACCCCTGCCTCCTATAGATTTCGGAAGAATTCGATGATCGATTATTGGTGAACGACAGGGGCAGGTTTTTCCCCCTAGTTTGACTGCCGGCGCGTGAACGAACACCTGACTTGAGCCAGCTTGCGCCATCTTGTTCGATCTTGCTAGGGGTCGGACGTCGCCACCAACCCAGGGCCAACTTTTCGCTCTGAGTCGTTGTCTGGCGGTCCGCTGCCTGGCAGTGGCCGCCAGAGGCCGACGAGCTGCTGCAGGCTGGCCGCCTCGATTGCGAAAGCCTGACGGCCGGTGGCCACCGACACTGCAGTGGGACGCCGACGACGACGACAACGCCGACGCCGACTCCGACGCCGACGCCGACGCCGACGCCGACGACGACGACGATGACGACGACGATGACGCCGCCGACGCAGAGCCGCCGCCGCCGCCACCCCCGCAGCCTCCGCTGACGACGACTACGACGACGACGGGTTTTCCCACGAGTCGTTCTGCGGCGGCCCCGCTGCCCAGCATTCGCCGCCAGACCGAAGCCCACGCGTCGCGGAGGGCCGGCCGCGCCCCGAATTTTTGCTTTCGGGGCGCCCGGCGCCGTGGCGTTCGTCGTGGCGCTTTTCGTTCCCAACCAACCTGTGGTGTTGGGTTCTCGTTTCGAACAGACGGCGCTCCGCGTCCCCCCCCCTCCTTCCCCCTCCCAGGCCCCATAGGGAGCTCCACCGAAGGCCCTAGTGGCGACGTTCCCATGCGCCCCCGCCACCCATTTTCGGTACACCTCTCACACAGTTGGTGGTCCCACAGGGACTTCCACCCAGCGCCCCAGTGGCGACGTTCCCACGCGTCCCCGCCGCCCATTTTGGCACATCGCTCACACGGTTCGTGGCCCCGTAGGGAGCTTCAATTAAGGCCCCAGTGGTGACGTTCTCATGCGTCTCCGCAACCCATTTAGGCACACCCTTCACACGGTTCGTGGCCCCTTAAGGAGCTCCACCTAAGGCTCCAGTGGCGAAGTTCCCATGCGTCCCCGCCCCTCACACGGTTCGTAGCCCCATAGGGAGCTCCATCTAAGGCTTCTGTGGCGACGTTCCCATGCGTCCCCGCCACCCATTTAGGCACACCCCTCACACGGTTCGTGTCCCCATAACATACAGAGATCCACCTAAGGCTCCAGTGGCGAAGTTTCCATGCGTCCCCGCCACCCATTTTGGTACACCCTTCAAATGTTTCGTGACCCCATAGGGAGCTCCACCTATGGCTCCAGTGGCGACGTTCCCATGCGTCACCGCCACCCATTTTGGCACTCCCCTTACACGATTCGTGGCCCTAGAAGGAGCTCCACTAAAGGCTCCAGTGGCGACGTTCCCATGCGTCCCTGCCATCCATTTAGGCACACCCCTTACACGGTTCGTGTCCCCATAACATGACGAACCAACAACACACACCCATACCCCATACCCATAGAGGGGTCGGAGAGGGCTATGGGTGCGTGTTGTCGGATGGGGGTCCCCGCTCGAACCGGAGCGTTCCCCAGGGTCCGACAACCCGCACCCATACCCATAGCCAGTCCTCCTCCCAGCGACCACCCTATGGGTATGGGTGTGTGTTGCTCGTTCGTCAATAACATACAGAGGTCCACCTAAGGCTCCAGTGGCGAAGTTCCCATGCGTCCCCGCCACCCATTTTGGCACACCCTTCACATGTTTCGTGACCCCATAGGAAGCTCCACTTATGGCTCCAGTGGCGACTTTCCCATGCGTCCCCGCCTCCCATTTTGGTACAACCATCACATGTTTCGTGACCCCATAGGGAGCTCCACCTATGGCTCCAGTGGCGACGTTCCCATGCGTCCCCGCCACCCATTTTGGCACACCCTTTACACGGTTCCTGGCCCATAGGGGACTCCATCGAAGGCCCCAGTGGCGAAGTTCCCATGCGTCCCCGCCACCCACTTTCAGCACACCCCTCATACAGTTCGTGGTCCCATAGGGAACTCCTTCTACGGCTCCAGTGGCGACGTTCCCATGCGTCCC